ATATATCTCAGTTTGTTGTTTTTAACCGCGATTCTACGAAAACATCGGTATCCTTCTTTCAGAGGTTTTTGCATTTATAGCTGAGTACTAGATTTACCACGTTTTGGCAGATGATATTGCCGACGCTTTGTTTAAGTTTTGTATATTAAATTTAATGAATTTTTTTAAACATAGAAATGTGCCTGAGAAGTGTGAAAAGTTTCTATGCACCGACAGAAAGGAAATCGCCAAGAAAAAACAAAACAAAACAAAAACCGGGACCGTCGGGAGCCGGTGAGACGAGATTTACCGCGTGCACGTTTGTTAAATTTTTTTCGCTTGTCGTGTTTTTATGTACGTTTGTACTGTAAAGATGATTGTTGGTTTTGCATTCATATATGTTTGTTACGTACGTGGTCGTTGGTTTTTCTTTAATGTATATTTTTTATGCGAAAAGGTCTGTTGATTATGCATTGTATATCATTTGTTAAGTTTTTATGGTCATTGAAATTAAAATAATTGTTTGTTTTCTCATTATGGTAATTTTTGCCCTTTCCGCTGCCCATAGTTATGGCCAAAGACAAATATATAAAACCATAACGCTACAGATCTGCAGCTACATCTTATCTATAACTTTATGCTATTACATAAGATAAATTGCCCTTTAGAACATTTAATTGATGCTTTCACACATTATTTATTAGGTAGGGGGGTATAGATCCTATTTTTTATTTAAAGAAAAAAATAAAGTAACGTCAGGTGTCTGAGCTTGCACATGAATCATTTGTATTTCTTTTGAGAACTTTCCTTTGGTACCAAGTTGTTTAAATTAAGAACTTGGAGTATGATCTACTAAGTAATGAAAAACTGAAAACCCTGATCGCCATAACTTTTTACTGGTAAAAGGGAACGAGGGGGGGGTAAAGAGGCAATAATTTTATCCTGTTTTAATCCTAGTTCTTGATCTTAGAGTTTGAAATATATTTGAAAACTTTAATCTTGGTCGAGATAGAGCTTTCATCAACTGAATCAGTGTTTCACAAGATCATCTTCTTTTCAAATTGTCTCATTTGAAATTAAAAAACCTGTTCATGTGCTGTATTCACTTTTTATGTCAATTTGCATCGGGTTCAAGATTGAAAAAATATTTGTTTCATATTGGCGTCAAATCAAAAAACCTCAAAGTAGCCAGTCGGCAGTTGTACATTGGGCGCATAATATTAGACAAACACTTCTAATAGTGACACGAAAAAATAGGTAAGCTTTATCCATAATGTTCTGTTTTAAAGTGTTTGAAAAAATTATGTGTAAAGATGGACAGAAAAAGAGGCAATAACATGAAGAATCAGTTACGCTTTTTAAAGTAATATACGCCGTATGGATGCCGATTTGTATGTGAAACAAAATGATTTGAAACACATAAAGTGTAATGAAAAAATAATATTTCCACAAAATTGAACTATAAAACTCGTTGAAATAACAGAACAATAAAGCAATGTCTGCAATCAAGAATTCAGTCTTTTCATGAATATTGATAAAGGAAGTGCGTAAACAGTAGGTCAAAATATAGACACGTATGTCCACGGGAAATTATAGACAACGAGGCACGTTGCATGTTGACAACGATTATTAATAAAAGGTTAATATGCGTTATAACAGAGTATAGATGGTTGATACTGATTACATTTAAAGATAAGTTATATTAATAGTAACACGCCATCCATGTCAAAAGTGAGTTGTATCTCAAAGGGCTTACCTCGTTTTCTTGTCGCCGTGTTTGTTTATCAATCTAAAAGTAGCGACGGCGTCACGTGGTGGATTTACTTAAAAATAGACATTATTCTCCTTGCAGGATAATAAATAATTATAATTTGATAACTTTATAACAAATTTTATTTAAATGGTGTAATTTACAGCATTTTCGTAACTTTTATTGGTAAACAAAATGTATAATTTTCCAGCCGTATTTTAAAATGGCGCACGTTATAGCGTATATTACTTTAATTTTATTTATAAATTGAAACTGTCAGAACGCCTTTGTATTGTTCTATTTGTGCAAATCTTTGACAATCATAGACTAATTCTGGACAGAAATAATACACTGTACAAGTACAATGTCAATGAGATATAGATTAATACCTTTTACGCATATAAGCATGATAAGTACTGTACATGTAATGGATATCAACCTGAATAATGGTAGAGCACCTGACTAGTGATACTGAGATACTGGGTTCAATTCCTTGTCCAGCCATACATTTTCTCCTCTCCTTTTATAACTGAATTTAATTTAATAGCTATCTACAGTAAAACTCGGTTATAGCGAAGTCCTGCCAGGGACCTGTGAATTTAATTTGTTATATTTGTAATTCGTAACATCCATCTAAGAAATTCATATAACAATATATAGCGAATTTGCTATAAGCATGTTTTCCCTCAAATATTACTACCATACTTGCGTTAGGGAAGCAAATATTTCAAAACATACCTTCGATAACCAAGGTTTTATTATGATTTGAATTTTATATACAAATGCTGAAATAAAATAAGTCCAGCAGGTCCATACAAGGCAGTGTCCAGAGTATGGGCCCAGCAGGTACATTCAGGGCAGTGTTCAGAGTATGGGCCCAGCAGGTACATTCAGGGCAGTGTCCAGAGTATGGGCCCAGCAGGTACACACAGGGCAGTGTCCAGAGTATGGGCACAGCAGGTACACACAGGACAGTGTACAGAGTATGGGCCCAGCAGGTACATTCAGGGCAGTGTCCAGAGTATGGGCCTGTCATACAGGACAGTGTCCAGAGTATAGACCCAGCAGGTACATACAGGGCAGTGTCCAGAGTATGGGCCCAGCAGGTACATTCAGGGCAGTGTCCAGAGTATGGGCCCAGCAGGTACACACAGGGCAGTGTCCAGAGTATGGGCACAGCAGGTACACACAGGACAGTGTACAGAGTATGGGCCCAGCAGGTACATTCAGGGCAGTGTCCAAAGTATGGGCCCAGCAGGTACATACAGGGCAGTGCCCAGAGTATGGACCCAGCAGATACATACAGGGCAGTGCCCAGAGTATGGGCCCAGCAGGTACATACAGGGCAGTGTCCAGAGTATGGACCCAGCAGGTACATACAGGGCGATGTCCAGAGTATGGGCCCAGCAGGTACATACAGAGCAGTGCACTATGTTCCTGGGGATGGTGGGAAGTCCTTAGAAGCTTGTTTGGTTTAAAAAAATGGAAGTTTATCCACTTGCTGATGGGGGCTGCAAATTTTGACTTATACTCAACACTCAAGGGAATCAAGCAGCGAGGGATATCTTTTGTGCTATTGTGCCAGCGGTCTACTGCTATACGGGTTGATCCCTGGTTTACACTTAATTGTCTATCATAGGGACTGGTCTACATGTCCCACAGTGGGAATTGAAGCAGCAATTTAAGGATCAACTCCTTACTGTGCGACTCTAGAGCAGACTCTCTAATCACTGCCTCATGCAGACAAGTTAGGCCATCCTTAAAAAATTGTTTGTTTGGAATTGCCGCCTGAAGGGTTTCAGACACAGGAGGGAGGGAGGGAAATTATTTTTTTTTTTTAATGAAAACCTAATTTTACATATAGATCTGACACTATATTTCAGTGTTTTTGTATGGTGCATATGATACATGTAATGGGCAAAATAATTGATTAAATAAAAAAAATCTTCCTACTTTTGGTCAATAAAATTTTTCCAGGAGGGGGCATTTCAATGAGGCGGGACGCAATTCCAAACAAACTGTAATTTTATTTTTGCCTTATTAGTTATTGACAGTGAGAATCAAGTGATTTCACCAAACACATACAAACTTTAGACAAGCTACATGTAAATGTATTATACACTGACTTTACATGTATCCTCTAAAAGTACATTTTAATTCAGTTAACATGATAAATAATTGTGTAAACTAATTCAAAGTTAATAAGAAATTGATCTTTTTTTCAACTGAGCAGTCCTGTTGGTGTTCTAGCTGAGAAGTGGCAGAATGAAGGCAAATGATAGTGTATAGCAGCTTCCAGCAGGTGCCCCCCCCCCCCCCCCCCCCCCAATGGCCAATCAAAGTTTTGAATAGAAATATATAAGAATTTTTTTTAAAAAATCTTCTTCTCAAGAACCACTGTGCAAGGAGAGATGAAACTCATAGGAAAGCATCTTCAGGTAGTGTAGATACAACTTTTTTCCAAATCATGACCCCGGGGGGTAGGGCAGGGCCACAATGGCCGATCAAAGTTTTACATAGAAATATTTAGGAAAATTTGTTAAAAATCTTCTTCTCAAAAATTAGCAAAGGCATGAATGATAATATTTATATGTCAGCATCATCAGGTAGTGTAGATTCATATTTGTTCAAATCATGACCCCTGGGGGTAGGGCGGGGCCACAATGGCCGATCAAAGTTTCACATAGAAATATATAGGAAAATTATTTTAAAATCTTCTTCTCTGGAATAGCAAATGCATGAATGATCATATTTTTATGGAAGCATCCTCAGGTAGTGGACATTCAAGTTTGTTCAAATCATGACCCCAGGGGATAGGGCAGGGCCATGACATGGAATCCAAGTTTTACTTAGAAACATGTAAAAAAAAAAATCTTTAAAAATCTTTTTTTCAAAAATAGCCATGATTAGTCCTATTCACATGGAAGCATTCTCAGATAGTGTAGATTCAATTTTGTTTGAATCATGACCCCTGGGGGTAGGGCAGGACCACAATGTAAGTTCAAATGTAAAGGGCAATAAAACCACAGGTAGTCAAAGAAATATGCAAGCATCCTTAGTTAGTGTAGATTCAAGTTTGTTCAAATCATACCCTATAGCTCTCACTTTTAAGGATTGTTTGGGACCACTATTGGGTATCAACTTTTCAATAATATACTAATTTATGCTTTTTTCCTAGCCACATTACTCAGGTGAGCGATGTGGCCCATGGGCCCATGGGCCTCTTGTTGTTTAAACAGGCAAATTATGACATAGAGCTTCTGTCTCTACATGAGAACATACAACAGAAGGTCGTGACCCTGCTGAGTGACCCGGACAACAGAAGGTCGTGACCCTGCTGAGTGACCCAGACAACAGAAGGTCGTGACCCTGCTGAGTGACCCGGACAACAGAAGGTCGTGACCCTGCTGAGTGACCCGGACAACAGAAGGTCGTGACCCTGCTGAGTGACCTGGACAACAGTGTTAAACGGACCCTACTGGAGAAAGGAATCACAAAGCTGTGTGTCTTCTTTGGCAGGCAGAAAGGTATTCACTTTACCAAAACCAGGCATTTGAAAAATACTTTTCTCAACAAGATTTAATTCTGCAATCTGATGTATGGATGTAAAGTTAAAACATGTTTGAGTTGTGGTAGTTGTTTGATCTCATTCTCTAGCCTGATATAGAGTAAATGTGGTTTACGATTGTTGATTTGAATTTTTAGAAATGTTAATTTCTGTATTTAATTTTCAGCCAATGATGTGTCATTGATTACTTCCTCAATGACAAGGTAAGATAACTCAGGTTTTTGTTAAATAATAATTAAAACTATAACGTCGTATGTGAAATAAAGAAGACTGTCTCTGATCAGTGATGTACTGTATGTGTACTGTATACAGGGTTATTTTCACCAAGTGTTATTTTCACACTTTCACAGTTGCAAACAATTTTTCCCCAATTTGAATTCATCCAGTTATAGCTTTGTTTAAGAAATTATACTGAAATCTTTGATTTTGCCTGAATGAGGGTAGGTGGAAGGGGCAAAAATTTCCCTGTATACGGTATTTAGAATAGCAGGCTTCATATTTTAGAGACTTTGGAACAGACTATAATGTGTTAATTTATGAATACAGTAAAACTCATATAGTACGAACACCGATATTGCTAATCCATGGATATAGCGAAGTTATCATGGATCCCCCAGCTATATTAATTTAACTAATTCCTTATATGGATATAATGAATAAGGGATATAGCGAATTAATTTCAGAGATCCCCTAGACTTCTTTATAACCGAGTTTTATTGTATCTCTTAGAAATCTTTTATGAATACAAAATATGACACAGACATGTGTAGCGCTAATTCATCATTAGGCCAACAACTCATACCCAGTGATTTTGCTAAAATTTAAATAACATGCTAAATTACACTGTATGTACATGTACATTTTATTCTTGTTTTTCAGACTGACTGGCATCTCCGTGGCTCCTTCTTTGACAACATTGTGGGTGTGGCCGCCTATATCGGTAGCAGAGCTGCTCTATGCTGAAGCCACTTATTGACAAGGTACGGAAATCAGGTGATAATAATTATAGCCAGTCAAATCTTACAGAAACAATGATAATTAAATCCCTAATGGAAATAATGATTTCACAGTATAAACTTTATTTTCTGTTTCAGGGCTTTAGTGACCCAGAAGAATTTGTGGTACACAAGACGTTAGGTGTTCTACAGTCTCTTACAGAATTAGGTCTCATTCAGAAATCCATGCTCCAGGAGTTCTCTCTTGAAGTGGGCCCTTTTTTGCCACACCCTGTAAGTAACCTATCAAAAAATGTGACCAAATAATTACATATATTTTATTACATATATTTATTTAGGCTAATACCATGCTCACTTTTGTAAAGATATTTCTTATTCGATTATTTGAATCATTAGGGAGTATAATTCTAACATTTTGTAAAGGCTTTTGTCGTCGAACACTTGTTTGTAATCTTTTTCTGACTACAAACAGAAACAGAAAGTGAATATATACAAGGCAATGTGCCAGATAATAAATATTCATGATTTTAAGTGGTGGGAAATTCAAAAGGTTCAATTTTTAATGTTTCATTTTCATTTTTTTACCAGCAAAACTGCAAGTATGAAATAACTAGACATTATGCTTCTTTCAGATTTTTCTGCTGAATGCTCTGCAGAACTTGTTTGACTACATCCTAAGGGTCAGTCAGCCGGATCGAATGTTTGATATTCTGAGGGTCAGTCAGCAGGATCGTCAGTGTTTGATATTCTGAGGGCCAGCAAGCCGGATCGAGTGTTTGGTATTCTGAGGGTCAGGATCGTCAGTGTTTGATATTCTGAGGGCCAGCAAGCCGGATCGAGTGTTTGATATTCTGAGGGTCAGTCAGCAGGATCGTCAGTGTTTGATATTCTGAGGGCCAGCAAGCCGGATCGAGTGTTTGATATTCTGAGGCTCAGTCAGCCCGACCGAGTGTTTGATATTCTGAGGGACAGTCAGCCGGATCGAGTGTTTGATATTCTGAGGGTCAGTCAGCTGGACCGAGTGTTTGATATTCTGAGGGAGAAGCAGTACAGTGGACCCTCAGATATATGGACGCCAAATAACGGGATGCTTCAGTATCCTGATGACTTTTCATCAGAATGGAATCTTTAAATGCTGTTTTGTCTTGTTTTAATGGTAATTCAAATTTCAGAATGCTTCACATATCCGGACAAATTGACTGGGAACCAAAGCGTCTGGATGAATGAGAGGGTCCACTGTATATCAAATTAGGTCCATCAGCAGGCAGGGGCATTGCATCATCTACTCCAAGCTAGATGAGACAATGACCCAGGTGATTCAGTATTCAGTAAATTAACAATAAGCTAGGTTAAAAAAAGAAGCATATTATTAACATTTTCTCTCTCATCTTAATCAAGGTTTATGTGTCTTAGTTTTTTACTGGAGGAAAATCCTTTTGTAGGTTTTTAGCTCTACTGGTCAGAGACCAGAAGAGCTTATGCGATAGTAATGCGTCCTGCGTCCGTCCGTCTGTCTGTAAACAATTTTTCAAAATGCTACCTCTCCTACAGTTTTGGTCTAATTTCAATATAACTTGGCACACAAGTAGACTACACTAGAGATACATAATTCTGTGTAACGGTTTTTGATTTCGATGAACGGTGTTGCCGTGGTTACTAAAAATAGAAATTTCTGTGAAATTCTTTCAAAATGCTACTCCTCCTACAGTTTTGGTCTGATTTCAGTATAACTTGGCACACAAGTAGACTACACTAAGATACATAATTCTGTGTATCGGTTTTTGATTTTGATGAACGGTGTTGCCGTGGTTACTAAAAATAGAAATTTCTTTGAAATTCTTTCAAAATGCTACTCCTCCTATAGTTTTGATCTGATTTCAGTATAAGTTGGCGAACAAGTAGAATACACTAAGATACATAATTCTGTGTATGGGTTTTTGATTTCAATGAACGGTGTTGCCGTGGTTACTAAAAATAGAAATTTCTGTGAAATTCTTTCAAAATGCTACTCCTCCTACAGTTTTGGTCTGATTTCAGTATAACTTGGCACACAAGTAGAATACACTAAGTTACATAAACTAGTGCATCCGTTTTTGATTTTGCTGAACGATGTTGTCATGGTTACTAAAAATAGAAATTTCTGTGAAATTCTTTCAAAATGCAACTCCTCCTACAGTTTTGGTCTGATTTCAGTATAACTTGGCACACAAGTAGACTACACTAAGATACATAATTCTGTGTATCGGTTTATGATTTTGATGAACGGTGTTGCCGTGGTTACTAAAAATAGAAATTTCTATGAAATTCTTTAAAAAATGCTACTCCTCCTACAGTTTTGGTCTGATTTCAGTAATACTTGGCAAACAACTAGACTACACTAAGATACATAATTCTGTGTATCGGTTTTTTGATTTCAATGAATGGTGTTGTCGTGTTACTAAAAATAGAAATATCTGTAAAATTGTTTCAAAATGCTACACCTCCTACAGTTTTTGTCTGATTTCAATATAACTTGGCACACAAGAAAAAAAACTCTAAGATACATAATTCTGTTTATTGAATTTTAATTTTGATGAATGGTGTTGCCGTGGTAACTAAGAATAGAAATGTCTGTAAAATTGTTTCAAAATGCTACTCCTCCTACAGTTTTGGTCTGATTTCAGTATAACTTGGCACACAAGTAGACTACACTAAGAACATAAAGAGACTTTATCAACGATCATTATTCTATTTAATGCTGTTTATATAAAGTTTCAAATCCCAGCTACTTAAGTACTTTCTCTTCCTTTGCTATAAGTTTAAACCAGTAGAGCTTCAGTCTTGTCAGAGACTTCTGGTTAAAAAGTTGTCTTCCTTTGGTATGGATGAATCACATGAAGATAAACTTCTAAGTACAATGTATTTATAATAATTGTCTTTCATACATGTATGACATATTAAGGCTTGTATTCTAAATATCACAGTGACATTAGAGTGACGTACACCATATTCAGTTTCTGATGCTGAGCTGCATTTGTTTTCAGGCCATGAAAGATTACATAATGAAATTAAACAGATATAGAGCAGGGTAAGCAAGCTCTCAACTTCATTTCTGTGAAGCTCCTGGATCTGCTCTCTCTAGCCACATTCACCGACATCGGGGCAATCCACATTTACAAGTCAGTAGTGTCTTTTTAGGTCACCTGAGTAAAACTCATGTGACCTATTGCTATCTGTTTTCGTCCGTCGTCGTGCTTCGTCCGTTAACATTTGAAGATTTTCAGCTTCTTCTCTTCAACCACTGAACCAATTTCAACCAAATTTGGCACAAAGCATCTATGGGTGAAGGGGAACAAAAATGTGAATTTCATGGTCCCTGCCCCCCTGGGGCCTGGGGGGTGGGGCAAAAACCACTAAAATTAATGCAATCTTTAAAATCTTCTTCTTTACTCCTGGACATTAAGCAGTTAAACTGTTTGCATGATTGTAATCAGCATTTAGTCCTCTACCAACATTGTGAAATTTATGGCCCCAGGGTCAGGGGTTCTAATGCTAGGGTGGGGCTAAATAAGTATATAGTGAAAATGCATTATTCCTTTGAAAATCTTCTTCTCTGCTCCTGGGTATAAAATAAACTAACTAAGTGCATTGTTATGATGAGCAAGAGTGCCTTTCCCAAAATTGTGAATTTTATGGCCCCAGGGTCAGGGGTTCTAGTGTTAGGGTGGGCTCTATAGATTATATAGTGAAAATTCATGAATTCTTTGAAAATCTTCTTCTCTGCTCCTGAGTATTAAATAAACTAACTAAGTGCATAGTTATGAAGAGCAAGAGTGCCTCTACCAAAATTGTGAAATTTATGACCCCGGGATCAGGGGTTCTAGTGCTAGGGTGGGGCTAAATAAGTATATAGTGAAAATGCATTATTTCTTTAAAAATCTTCTTATCTGCTCCTGGGTATTTAATAAACTAACTAAGTGCATTGTTATGATGTGCAAGAGTGCCTCTACCAAAAATTTGAAATTTATGGCCCCAGGGTCAGGGGTTCTAGTGTTAGGGTGGGGCTCTATTGATTATATAATGGAAATACATGAATTCTTTGAAAAAAATTCTTTTCTGCTCCTAGGAATTAAATAAACTAAGTACATAGTTATGATGAGCAAGAATACCTCTTCCAAAATTTCGATTTTATGGCCCTAGGGTCAGGGGTTCTAGTGATAGGGTGGGGCTCTATTGATTATATAGTGAAAATACATTGAATCTTCGAAAAATTTTCTTCTCTGATCTTGGGTATTAAGCAGATGAACTACCTATGTAGTTATGATGAGCAAGGACCCTAATCTTCCAGAATTGTGAATTTCAAGGCCCCAGGGTCAGGGGTACCATAGGGGGGATGTACTTATATACTGTCACTGGATGAATTGTTTGAGATCTGCTCCTTGGTATTAATCAAATATTTTTGAAAAGCAAGGATGCCTTTTCAAAAATTGTGCAATGTGTGGATCTAGGCCTAAGGGCCAGGGGTTCATGTGTGATAGGGGCAATACTGATTATTGCTGAATATTACTGATTACTTGAAATGCATTTTTTGTTCCCCCACCCTGCCTATGGGTATTAAGTAAACAAACTAAGCAACTGCTAAGTGTATTGTTATGATGATCAAATGGTGCTTCTTTCAAAATTGTGAATGCCATAGCATCTTGCTTAAAACATGAATCAAATTAAATCACTGGAAAGTTGTTGCATAATGCTCAGGTGACCTATAAGGCCCATGGGCCTCTTGTATATATTGAAGTTAGAAATAAATGAATTGTTTCTTTTACTGATTTGCTTTTTTTTAACAGGATACATGTAAATACAGGAAAGGCCACTTGGAACAAAGCGATTAATGTGTACAAGTCCGACTATGGAAACATAGTAGATCTTAGTACATACTGTGATACAGGTACAGGACTGTACAAATATATGTTCTTGATCATGCATGATTATTTACATATGTAATTATATTATGAAATAGGCAAT